CCCCCGTTGTGTGTGGTAGTGGGATTTAGGGTTTAGGGGTTAAGGGTTCAATAGGGCTTGGGGTCTAGAGTTCAACTGGAGTTTCAGGGCATAGGCTACCTTAGGGTTCAAAATGCGCTGATGGACCCTAGCTTTGGTCCAAAGGCCTGGGGGGTGGGGGGTTTTGATTTTCAGGGTTGAGAGGTCTAGGTTTCTTAACTGCTTGCTTCTGGAGGGCTGGTGCGCTGATGGGGGCTAAGGGGCTTCGAGGGCTTAAGGGGCTTGGGGGGGCTGAAGGGGGCTTAAGGGGCTTGAGGGGGCTCAAGGGGCTTAAGGGGGCTTAAGAGGGCTTGGGGCCCTTAAAGGCTTAAAGGGCTTAGGGCACTTAGAGCGCTTGTGAGGGAGGTTTGGGGCTGATGGACCCTAGCTTTGGTCCAAAGGCCTGGGTGAATGAACTTGGGGTGGGGGGTTTTGATTTTCAGGGTTGAGAGGTCTAGGTTTCTTAACTGCTTGCTTCTGGAGGGTTGGTGCGCTGATGGGGGCTAAGGGGCTTCGAGGGCTTAAGGGGCTTGGGGGGGCTGAAGGGGGCTTGAGGGGCTGAAGGGGGCTCAAGGGGCTTAAGGGGGCTTAAGGGGGCTTAAGAGGGCTTGGGGCCCTTAAAGGCTTAAAGGCTTAAAGGGCTTAGGGCACTTAGAGCGCTTGTGAGGGAGGTTTGGGGCTGATGGACCCTAGCTTTGGTCCAAAGGCCTGGGTTAATTAACTTGGGGCTGGGGGGTTTTGATTTTCAGGGTTGAGAGGTCTAGGTTTCTTAACTGCTTGCTTCTGGAGGGTTGGTGCGCTGATGGGGGCTAAGGGGCTTCGAGGGCTTAAGGGGCTTAAGGGGGCTTAACGGGGCTTAAGGGGAAGGGGCTTAAGGGGGCTTAAGAGGGCTTGGGGCCCTTAAAGGCTTAAAGGCTTAAAGGGCTTAGGGCACTTAGAGCGCTTGTGAGGGAGGTTTGGGGCTGTTGCATTGCTGACCTCTTTTATTGTTCTCTCACTCTTTTCTCTCTGATGCCACTTTGCTCCCCCCGGGAAAAAAAAAAGGCCGGGGGGGCTAAACTTGGGGGGTGGGGGGTTGTGGTGTGGATTTGCAGTCCTCCATCACGGTCTGTGTGGGTGTGTGTGGTTGGTCTAGGTTCTGACGGCGTGCTTCTGGAGGGTTGGTGCGCTGATGGGGGCTAAGGGGCTTCGAGGGCTTAAGGGGCTTGGGGCGCTAAAGGGGGCTTAAGGGGCTTAAGGGGGCTCAAGGGGCTTAAGGGGGCTTAAGGGGGCTTAAGAGGGCTTGGGGCCCTTAATTGAAGGGCTCAGGGCACTTAGAGCGCTTGTGAGGGAGGTGGGGGGCTGATGGACCCTAGCTTTGGTCCTAAGGCCTGGGTTAATTAACTTGGGGGGTGGGGGGTTTTGATTTTCAGGGTTGAGAGGTCCAGGTTTCTTAACTGCTTGCTTCTGGAGGGTTGGTGCGCTGATGGGGGCTAAGGGGCTTCGAGGGCTTAAGGGGCTTAGGGGGGCTTAAGGGGCTTAGTGGGCTTAAGGGGGCTCAAGGGGCTTAAGGGGGCTTAAGGGGGCTTAAGAAGGCTTGGGGCCCTTAAAGGCTTAAAGGGCTTAGGGCACTTAGAGCGCTTGTGAGGGAGGTTTGGGGCTGATGGACCCTAGCTTTGGTCCAAAGGCGTGGGTTAATTAACTTGGGGGGTGGGGGGTTTTGATTTTCAGGGTTGAGAGGTCTAGGTTTCTTTAACTGCTTGCTTCTGGAGGGTTGGTGCGCTGATGGGGGCTAAGGTCGAGGGCTTAAGGGGCTGGGGGGCTTAAGGGGGCTTAAGGGGCTTAAGGGGCTTAGGGGGCTCAAGGGGGCTCAAGGGGCTTAAGGGGGCTTAAGAGGGCTTGGGGCCCTTTGGGCACTTAGAGCGCTTGTGAGGGAGGTTTGGGGCTGATGGACCCTAGCTTTGGTCCAAAGGCCTGGGTTAATTAACTTGGGGGGTGGGGGGTTTTGATTTTCAGGGTTGAGAGGTCTAGGTTTCTTAACTGCTTGCTGCTGGAGGGTTGGTGCGCTGATGGGGGCTAAGGGGTTTCGAGGGCTTAAGGGGCTTGGGGGGGCTGAAGGGGGCTTCAGGGGCTTAGTGGGCTTGAGGGGGCTCAAGGGGCTTAAGGGGGCTTAAGGGGGCTTAAGAGGGCTTGGGGCCCTTAAAAGCTTAAAGGGCTTAGGGCACTTAGAGCGCTTGTGAGGGAGGTTTGGGGCTGAAGGACCCTAGCTTTGGTCCAAAGGCCTTGGTTAATTAACTTGGGGGGTGGGGGTTTTGATTTTCAGGGTTGAGAGATCTAGGTTTCTTAACTGCTTGCTTCTGGAGGGCTGGTGCGCTGATGGGGGCTAAGCACCTTCGAGGGCTTAAGGGGCTTTGGGGGGCTTAAGGGGGCTTAAGAGGGCTTGGGGCCCTTAGGGTGCTTGGAGCCCTTAGGGTGCTTGGGGTTCGCGGGCTTAGGAGGCTTGAAGGGCTTAGGGCCCTTAGGGCACTTGGGTCCTTAGGGTGCTCATGGGGCTGAGGGAGGTGTGGGGGCTGATCCCATAAGCTCATAGCTTTCAAGTCAAACCTTAAACCCTTAAGCTTTAAACCCTAGCTTTTCAAGGCCCGAAACCTGGTTGTTAAGCTTGCGATAGCCCCTAAACCCCTACTGCCTAAGCCCTAAACCCTTGAATCCCAAACCCCCCCCCCCAGTCCATGTTTGCTTAAGGTTTGCTCTGGTGGCTGGCGAATGGCTCTTGCTCCCATATGCACCAGCGTCTGTGTTTTCCCGCCATCTGTGAACCATGTTGAGTTTAGGCTTTAGGGGTTCTCTCCATCCCTGGGGTTTAGGGTTTGGCGTGTACTGTTAGGCTTCAGGGCTCAGGGTGTTTATTCTTCCTTCTGTGAGTCGTGGTGTGTTTGGGGTTTGACTAGGGACGAATGTTGAGGTTTTGGGTTTGGAGTTGGGTGCAGGGTTTTGGTTTGCCCCGTGTTTCCCCTTGAGGCGGAGCCAGGGTATAGGGTGACGCCAGGACTAGAAATTATTCCTGAAGGGACAGGTGGCACTTTGTAAACGACCAGTCCGCAAAGCCCTGCGCAGCGGCAGACACAGGAAAAAAAAAAAAAAAAAACAGTGAAGGGATGAGTGG